CCCCCACACACTTTTTAAAAATGAAAAAGTGCCCTTTTTCTGGGCTAAAGTGCCCCTTTTAAAGAAAGAAAAAAGTATTTCTTGAATGAAGGCCCTTTTTGGCCTTTTTGCAGTAATAAAGCCTGTAAGGCCATTTCGGACGTTATAGAGACTCCATATTTTCAAAAATTTTCGTTTGGCTCATGAACGACATAAAATCGTTTGATTTTGGTCATATACAAAAGTGCCCCTTTTGGCCAATGTCTCTCCACTTTCCAAATGCTTCCGTGGCCTCTGAAAGCATTGATATAATCTTTCTTGTTTCAGTGAGTTCGATATTTGCATGACGCTTGACTATCGACTACAGTAATGAGATAAACATGAATTGTTTTAAATAATTTCAGTACACTAGTTGATCGACAAATTCGTTTAATTAAGATTACATCATTTGGATTACATGTTCCTACACTACAATTTAGATTACTATAAAGTACGGCCCTAATTGGTTGCATTTCGCAATGCGACGTTTTTAACCATACTGTTACCACTACTATATGATTATATATAGTTGCCTAACATTCAAGATTTACTGTGATTTAATCTGGTTCCTTTACTATACTAATTAGCCATTGTGAATATGTTAAATGAATCTTAAATGTGATTGACCCGATTTATGCTAGAGACGGCCAATGCGTTTGGACGATAGTTCTGGATATTTCGACGGCATCATACAAGCTATCAGGAGAATATCAGGTATGATTTGTTCACAAAACCATTAAGGGATGAAAAATGAAAGAAATATGATGAAAAATCTCTGCAATATTTTATTTCGTCTGGATGGTTGTCTCGTGTTTACACTAAACTTTAGGGTCATGTCACGCGGGACAACTTTTTCCACACACGGGGCAACTTCAGATATACAGAGCCAAATGAGTGAGTCATGTTATCTCAACTACGTAGTTACAGAGAAATAATGAACATGGCCCGCATACTACTCTGCCGAAACTTTATGTACTATTTAAAACATGCACAGCAGTGTTTGATCAGATACAAAGATACCAGACGAAGCCGAGTATCTTTAGGTCTGATAGAACACGCACTGCGAGTGTTTTAAATTGCTTCAAAAACGATCGATCTAGTAAGTTCATTGGCGAAGTAATTTTCAAAAAATACGTTGTGTAAGTCGTGAAAATCAAAGTTAAAGTTTATGCAAATCAAGGGAAATCTCTATCACATATAAAGATAAGTGACATGCTCATGATTGTTTTTGTTTTTTCCTCATGAATTACACATAACATATTCTTAAGGATGACAATGAAGGAAACGGGATGAAAAATGTCGGCAGAGTAAACCGTGGACCATGCTCAGAAATTTCCAAACGTTTATAGCTAGCAAGGCTCTTCTGTGACAGAAACTGCATTGCAAGTTGCAGCAAGTATTGCATCGTGCAACATATGACCGAATGATCCGTCTGACAGATGATGCGTTTTGACGATTGATCCATCTCTAGTGTAAATCGGACCACTCAGTTCTTTTAACGAACCAATATGTATGCCATGGCTCTGACATTCTTGTTTCCTTTGTCTGCATTACACTGGGCAAGATTACCCGCGGCGTTGGCAGATGTATGCGAAGACCCGCACCAGCTCTTGGGATAATTCAGACCACCTCCAGCTCCCAGGCCTACGAAAGAGTCTGGTGTATTACAATCATTTTCTTGGTTTGCAATAATGCCCAACCGAACTTTTACAATTGGGTACTTTGATGATCGTTCCACGTTAAATCGCTCTTGGTTGCAGTTACTCTGTAAGGATGACCCACTGATAAATGATTTCCACTGCGCGCGACCAACGCGAGTTTGTCGATATTTTTCGTCTGCGATCAGATTATACAGAGATGATGCCGGGTACGAGAAAGAGATCGCTCTTAAACGACCACCATATTTCATGCCAACACAAATTTCTTTAAATGAGGTTCGCCAGTAACTCGATCCTTTATATTGTTGATTGTCTAAACCGCGGTTTCGCCAATAGCCATGGTCACCGTAAGTGCTTCTGCTCGTCCAATAAGAGGAACTGTATTTGAAAGTACTCTATAAAAACAAATACTATAGTTTAGTCAGATTGACTTTGATCCTTCATCTCAGCCTAATCCTTGATCTAATTCCTCAGCCTGACCTTATTCCTAAACATGACCCCAATCCCAAAGTTACATTTAATCTCAACCTCATCCTTTACACCCTTCTGGAGAATACGTCCTCTTGGCTATAGAGCCTCGTTTTGACTTACCAAGCGTCCGTCAATTTTCATCACCATTGTCCAACCACCGCCATAGCAACTTGAGACTGACGTCATTTGACAGTACACGTTGATAACTTGATTGTTTCCAACACTGATTTGGTAAACACCACTTCCTTTGTTGCTGTAAGATAAACGAAATATTCTGTATTTTGATTTTTGGTTTATATAACTTATGTAGAAAACTCACTGGAAACTCAAAGCGTCTATAATGGACGACGATTTTTGTATTTTGAGATGACTAGCTTGTACAAATCTTTTGAAATCCAAGAGTGCGATTAATTGAGAACGGGTTGAGCAATTTCGATGCTGAAGTTATACCTGGTCCAGTTGATAATTGCTTCACCATGTTTGCACAAACATGAAAAAAAGATAGAACAATGGCAAAGTAAAGAAAACCATGCATTAAGTACCCTCATTTACCTTTGGCTCATCCATATTTGTTTGCATGATTTGTGTGTCAGCACTTTAACATCTTTAAAACGGAAAATGGTGGTATTAGCCAATGAACTAATAGAGAATAGAAAATAAAACACCGAAATTAGGGCAAGGTAAAGCATCTAAATAAAACTTGCTAATAATTTTCATAATTCTTTATTATATTGATTTTTCTTTATTACCTTTAGTCACCGTCGTAAGTTTATTGTTGATTTCTTGCTTAAAATTGTTAAGCTTCCCACTCACATCGTTTATCTTTTTCTCACTACAAATTCAATAAATTTCAAAGCGTCTATATGGGCTACAATCAGCGAAGAGGGTAAAGAAGCGGGAAGTATAGTATCGCATTTGCCGACAACATTCCAGTCGCTAATTATTGTTTATCACTGTAAAATCAACAAGTTTCAAAGCCAACTGCACGTGAGGTTACATGAGCTAGAATTTTATATTGAGATGACCAGGGGGGGGATACCTCAATATACCTGGATACCAATTAAGAAATTATGATAAAAACAACTATAATCTTATAGTTAAACACAAGCAGGACTATTTTAGAAATTCTTTTTTCATTAGAACGATTGAACTATGGAACACTCTACCGTCTTATGTCAAATCCTCCAATTCTTTAAGTATTTTCAAGTATCATCTTCATAAGTTGTATTCTACTAAGTCACGATTCAAATCTTAGCTAGTTTAAGTTGTTATAACTAATGTGTTATAACCTGTTCTAAGTTATATTAAATTAAAATTCTTCTTATTAATATTTCAATTTTATTTTATTTTATTTTACATGAACATAAACAAAAAACAACGAAGTAAAGAACAGAATTAACTCTCATTTTACCTTTTACGATTGACCTTTGTAAGTTTATTGTCGATTTCTTGCTTGAAACTGTCAAGCTTTCCAATGACATCTTTAATCTTTTTATGAAAAAGACAAGATTACGTGAATTCTTAATTAATTGCGAGGCGTAATTATCCTGTAGATATATTGGTTAATATAATAACACTTTCATTTACCGCCTACAATCGCCGACCAATTGGTGATCCCAACGAGCTGGCTGTACTTTCGACTTCATGCATCACCTAATGCACGATTCTTGTGGAAAAAGCTGGATCCTCCCTTCCTCATCAGGCGTTGTCGCAATTCATTTTTCTCCTAATGAGCCCTTCGCATGCATAACTCTTTGCACACTATGATAACAATTGTGCCATCCAGTCTTTTCAGTGTGTTAAAAGACTCAGTATTCTTCGTCGTATTTTAGCTATTATATTCCACAAATCAAGTATACGCCGAGTAAATGCCTGTCTGTCGCAGCTGGCAGTTTTAAAATATCGGGAGTTGAGGCGGGGAGGGAAATTTTACATTTACATTTTGAAAAGTAATATCCGCAGCAAAACTGGAGGTAAAACGTACTTCTTTCTGATTTGCCAATGCTGTCCACTGAGATTTTTCTTTGATATACAGCTTCTTCTTATCAGAAAGATAGGAAAGAAGACCTTCCACCTTTGGAAGTTTGTTCATTGATTGATTGTTAGGGACTACTGCAACCTGTAACAATCAACAAAACCGTGCCGTGATGTTGTTTGATGTTGTGATACCACAAGAAGAATTATTCTAAGCACAGGGAAAATGCAGTTTGGCTCAGATTTTCTGCTAAGCAGGGGAAATAATTTGATATAATACATAAAAAACTTACTTAATGACTTTTAGCTTACCCCATCATTAATTGTGACATCTTCAGGAACTGAACATGGACCCTAAACAAGTAATACATATGAACAATTATATAGACAAATGTCTTATAAGGGGAACCTCATATGGTTTTGTTTCAGATCTTGCACCAGTCTGTTGAATATATACCTTGTCTTAATTCTTAAGCTGTATTTTAAAACGTATAGAAGCCCACCTAAACTGACCCTTCTACCGTAGCTGTGCTCCATTAGAGAGTTTGAGCAAGACAACGAAGTACGAAGACGAAGGCATACTTGACAATTTTTGCCGTATGTCCATTATCTTGCGCATACCGAGTTGGACGTCACTGGTGGTTGCACAACGTATCTTCCCATGTGTCGCTGTTTATGAATACTGACCATAAGTCTTGCCCTGATCCAGAAAAAAAACAGCGAGACATGAAACTATATCCCGTCTTTGTCCTTCTGCCTTCGTGCAGAACGAGTTTCACAACGAAATTTGCGAAAGTATTCGTTGTGAACGAAGGCAGAAGACGAAGACGGGATATGGATTCATGTCTCGCTGTTTTATCCTGATCAGGGTAAGGATTTGGGTCAGCATTCACAAACAGCTAGACATGCATGTCTAATCTGTCTTCACTCCTGACCCTAAACTCAGAATGTTCAAGATAATGTGCAAGACAGACAAAAATTGTCAACCACGTCGTCGTCGTCCGACTTCGTTGTCTTGCTCAAACTCTCTAATGTCAGACTTGAGACTACCAGAGGCGCCCTTAGAAAGCCTTCGACTCGACCAGGCTGAGCAGCGTCCGTAATTCAGCTTTGCTTATTTTTGCTCGAGCGAGAACTCGAGAACGTTAACCGCGCAGATAAAAACAACAGAAAAGGACTGGAACTGACGTTCAATAGCTCCTTCTATTTCCGCCATCGTGGCATGCAAGGAGTCAATCTCGTTCCCCGAGCCTGCGATCCTGCATGGGAAAGGAACGTGAGGCTCTGGGATAATCCGTTGCCGGAAGCCAGGAATCCTGGCTAAGACCGAACTGCGCATTCCATATCAACGGCCAATCAGATTCCTCCCTGAAACGGATTATCCCAGAGCCTCACGTTCCTTCCCGAGGATCGCAGGCTCGGGGAATGAGATTGGGCAAGGAGTGTGCCGAAATTTCGTATTTTGACATCGACCAAAAACTGGAATTAGCAGGGGGGGGATTGTATAAAAGCTGTTTACGACCTTCAGAGCTATTGGACGTCAATGGCCGCCATGAATGAATGACGTTCTTGCTCCAGATAAATATGGAGCTCACTGGCACAACCCCACTTACTTACTTACTTACCTGTATATTTCTAGTTTCGTTCTACCATACCTTTCTCCTTATTCCATCCTCGACACGCCATGTTTTCATTTTTCCAGCACTATTCTTTTCTTTAAACTCCATGCATTTTTTCCAAACACGTTTCGGTAAAGATGAACGGATCCAAAACCAAACTGTGATATTGTCCTTTTCTCTTAAAACAGTTCCCCCATTGATTGCTTGACATTTTGGTGCGCAGTAATCCTGCTTACTGTCAGGACCAAAACATGCACAGCACTGTAAAATCGTAACATCGCATTATATAGCTAGGTTTTTGCTGAATTGGGAAATATTTGATGGACCACTAAGAGACATGGAAAAAGGTTTCTCCGGTGTAACACCCAAAAATGGCGGACAAGGCCTAGTCAAATGGCCTGTAAATAAACTGACTGAATGCAATGTTGTATTTGATATAAAACTTTAAAAACTGAGACTAATGATAAAATTTTGTCTAGGGCTACTTGCTCACAAATTGAAATTATTAAGGTTGATAATTTACCAATTTAGATTGAATCACTTCAAATCATATGGCAAGGGACCAAACGTTTGCCAATATCCAATACAATTCTGTCGCCCAAATCAAATGTTTCCTCGTTTATATTTTAGATGTACTTTACCTTTCCATGATCACATCCAACGAATGATGTTTGACTGTCCTGTATGCCTGAACGTGCCGACATGACACTGTAGCTACATGAAGGAAAACAGCATGACGGTATGTGAAAATGTTTGTATTTTCTAATTCAAACCATAACATAATAATTACCTGTACGAGCCTGATGTGTCGATATGATAACCAGGAAGATATGCAAAACCAATTGGGCATGATTCTTTGAAACATCTGTTCATTTTCTCCTGGTGGAATAAAAATGATGGAAAATGAAGTACTCTGCAAGGTAGATAAATTAAAATCTTGTGGATCAAAGCTACTATTAAAAGTAGGATAGGGTGACATTACCCATCCCAGTCCAGGTGCAATTGAAGCTCCAAATCGCGAGCAATTAAACGTCGTTGTTGCCATCTTTCTAGTCATAAGATCTTTAACGTAGGCAATGTTCCCAACCCCTGGGTATCGATGACTGCATCCTCCTTCATCGGACATCAGTAATTTTGAAAGAATGCGTGGGGATTTAAAACGGTAATACCTAAAATGGAGTAATTACACTGTTCGCATAAAACGCGAACAACAACAACAACAATCAAAGCAACAACAGGAAAAAAACAACATCAACAATAGTATCAACAACAACAATTGTAACAGCAACAAAACAATAACAAGAATATTAGCAGCACCAACAGCAAATTAGAACAACAACAACAACAACAACAACAACAACAACAACAACAACAACAACAACAACAACAACAACAACAACAACAACAACAAGTCGACAACAACAACAACACGTTACATACCAATGTGCGCGAGTATCATGAAAATTACAAATCATCAAATCTTGTGTAAATCTTTCCAAAATTTCACTTCCAGAAACCAACGATTTATTTTCCAACAATTCTGTCTTCACGAGAACTTTATATACTTCGAAGAAATCTTGAGGAGTCAACCCCGGAATAAAGTTTTCCATTGAACTGGGGACCTGCTATGCCCTTAGGATAGGTTAAGGGCCACTATAATTTCTTTAAATTACGAGTCTGGTTTAAACTTAGGAAATTTTTTCTTTGATGTTCAGATTTCGATGCTCAGCACACAAATATTCGTGTCGAAATGACTTTGTTGTTTTTGTACTTTACTGAAATGTGCCGTCATCGTAGGGTTTTTACCAAGAAAACAGTTATTTTCAGACTTCCTTACCTAGACATCAATATTAAAATGAGCGACTTGAAGGTATTCTTTGTCTCTTGATGGAATGTGAGCTCACAATAACTCACGCAACCGGCTCAACGCGTCGTAACGTCTTTGCAACACACCAAATACAATAATTTTGCAGCTTCGAAAGTTGTTTGAATTGGAGAATGAAAATTTGAATTGCATGGATAAAGTGTGTTTCAGCGTGTTCAATATAGAGTGCATGCCAAGTTGTGTAAATTACACGTCTTAAACGGAAGCATACCTCTGTTTTGATTTTAATTCCGCATTTTGTATTGATGCTGAGACAATGTCATTAGACGGGGGGTGGTGCATGCATGCGTGCGTGAATTGGTATTCATTAGATTAAATCATGCTAGATTAAAACTCAACAACGAAAGATATTGCAAGCCGGACTCGATTTGTCATACAAGTCTAACGTCTGTTTAAACGAGATAAACTCGAAGAAAATTTGGTGCAATGTTGATAGTCATGCATGCATAAAAACCAAATTAAACTAATTATGTGAACTAAAATAACTTCATTAAAACTAGATAGCTCTGAACTTTTCTCTTAAGAGGTCCGGGACAGTGAGAAACATCGCTCGTTGTTGTGATGTGAGTGCATGGGGAGAAAACCTGTATCTGTTTGAGTCAAACTTGAAGCATTCTTCTCGTATATGAGTGAAGTGAATTTATTATCAAACAACTGCATATTCCAGGAATGGAATTTCGTGTGAAGACCCTGCCCAGTTGTATAGATCCTTCCGTCCTTCCTATTGTACTTATGAAAAGCTTCATGAACTTAACGAACATTTTAAATTCTACGTCGCTTGTCAAGTACATGCAGAATGACCTTTATTGACTCGCTATATATATAATTTTCTTCCAGAACTTGAATAATGTCAAAGACAGAAGCTCGGAGTCGGAAGAAAAGCTCACTGCAAATCATTCAGGTAAGCTATTTTGCTGGATAGTTGTATCTACCTATCTATAGTATATCATATCTATATAATTTATCTAGTATGCCTGATAAAATTGCGGTTTAACCGAAGGATAACTATATTGGCGTCATGCATGGTCGTAATCCTGCTTAGTAAAAAAAGACAATAATTATAGGGCAAAAACTAAGTCTAAAGACGTTTATTGAGATAAAGTCGTCGAAATGTATAAGGAAATAGGATTCAATGCAGATATACAGAATTAACGTGGAAATATGAAACTGGGTATAAGTCATGACATTATTACAGATGTTCTGAAAAATACTTTTTCTGAATCAAACGTGCATTAGATCAGGTGATATATTCAACTATCTAGATCTCCCACGTTATGCGTTTTGCTTTAGAAATTCAAACATTTTTCAAATACCTAGGCTAACAACACCCGCTGTGCGTATTCTTTCCAAACATTAAATTGCGTCATTGTCAGTAAGAGGTATATTTCTGTGCGTCCATCTCCCCCCGTGTGCGAATTTTCTCGTCTATAGCGCTTCAGATATGTTGCTGATTCCTGTCTATATTATATCAATGTTACGGTAATAAAACCATTAGATCAATTACATGTGATATCCCATGTGACAGACACTGGTGGCTTAAGCAACGAGCTCGACAGGTGCATGGATTGTAATGCCTATCTAAGCAAGCAAGGTCAAATCTTGCAAGTGGTTTAGTTATTATACAATTATCGGAATTTCCATCCATAAAACTTACCGACAATTAGTGCAGATGCCCAAAATTTACCCGTGAACCTTACCATGACATCATCACCCTAGTATATATACATGAACTTGTGGCTCGAGCTCGACGTCTGGCCTCTGTAGCTCAGTTGGTTAGAGCGCTGCACCGGAATGGCAGGTTCAATTCCGGCCAAAGGGTCTATAGTTGTATCAATCATGTGCTCATATTCCATGGAACGTCTGTGACTAGACTCTCTCACTGTCACTGATGTGAATTCGTTCCCAGTTAACTAAGTTAAGCATGCATGATTTGGTCATGCAGAAGTATAGGCATGTTCTTGCATGTGGACTACCCTAAAATGTTCTGAATGATGATATACAGAACTCATGTGCGTGCCAGTTGATGGAGTTTCCAAATGTGAGTTACTCTAAAGTCATCTGATATGTTGTACAGAACTTGTGTGAATAGGATCACAGTTAAGGATAGGATTAATTAAGTCACTTATGTGCTTTCTGGAAGGTCAAACAAGGTCAAGTAATGTACAGTTGTACATGTTTACGAAGGCAAGCCATCGTATTTAAAACCACCAATGTTTTACAGAACTCGTGTGAGTAGAGTTAGGGCCATTCTTTGTTGCTTCAGTGTCACAAGATCAAAGTGGAGCACACAGCAGTGGAATAATTAGTTAAAAGTTATTAAAATCGACACAATCGAGTCATGCAAACATAAGTTTACTTCCTCGTATGTAGTCCATAGCAACGCATTTTTTATTAACACAGATTGACAGCTTTACAGAACGTTTTGCATGATACGCCAAAATACACCAAGAATATACAAGCGCAGATAAAAATATGGTCCTGTCCCATATTTCTGAGGAACATTTGATGTTTTTAACTGATTCAACCAAACAGCGTACGTGAGGCTGATTAAATGTGATTGGCTGACCAAAATAAACCTGTCAAACTCTCTTTGAAACATGAACGTTTCGGCTGAGAATAGAGAATGTTCTTCATTGTATGTAAACGATGGTTTAACGGTTTGCCTTGGCGACGCATGCGATAAAACATCAATAATATAATTATAGAAGAAGAAACTTTATTCAAACAAATACCAATATTGGTACATTGAATACCTACATATACATTAGTTACAAAAAATAAAATATAAAAAAGACATTACAGTATATAAACTTACAAATAATTTATTCAGGCTAACTCATTCAATATGTCAAAAGTTCTTAGTATGTCGTAGCAATATTTTGAAGATAATTTCAGAATTAATTATATGAATTGACCTTTACAAAATTTTAAACAAAGAGTTTTTAATACAGCTATCAAAGTTCACTGCCCACGCAAGTTCAAGTCTTTCCCAGTAAGTGATTAAGTCAATGAAAATATTTTTATTTCCTTTTTTCCCAGAACAAAATAATTGAAGAAGCAATTTTATATTGATGTGAGAACGTGCATGCTTGGTTGCAATAATTTTACTGCTAGGTTACATAGGGTAGTTCCCTTTAGTGTGGTGATGTGTTAAAATTAGTGTTGGAGATTGTTTTGGGGGCTTTTTTGGGCTTTATATGGAAAGGTGACGTAGCTGCTCGTACAGAAAGTCCTGGGCACGAAGTTGCATTGTCGCGACTGACCTCAAAACTGGATAGTGCATTTACTATGCATACGATTAAGCCAATGTCAGCCCGATACAGGTTTGATCAACACAAATCTACTGTCAGTGTTACTGACATGTTAGAAGAGTTTGTGATGTTACTCTGAGTGTGCATCCACACCGGGCAAGCTGAAAAGGTAGTTTGGCCACGGTGGGAATCGAACCCTCGACCTTTGGGATACTAGTCCAATGCTCTGCCAGTTGAGCTATGTGGTCAAGTCGGTTCGAGTTGATGATATTTCGGAACTCAGTTG